TTTGCTTATTCTAAAAAAAAAGTTAATATAATAAGTATATTCAAATAGTTTAATTAATCGTTTGGGTATCCGTGATCACCCTCTGTATATTGCAAATCCATTTGAATTGATCTATTATTATCTTCCTCTCTATCAATTTTACTAAGTACATACCTAATAAAGTTTGTTATCAATAAGGTAATTAAATTATAAATATTAAAATATATTATTTAATTATATAATATAATAATGAAAAAATCATTTTATAAGTTATTTATATTTTAAAATAAATAATAATTTATTAAAATTATTTTAACTAATTTTAAATTTTAATTTAATCAAATTTTTATCAATTTTATTATAGGTTTATCATATAATTCTTTTTTAAATATTAATTTTATTAAACTTAAGTAATTTTCTTAATAATTAATATAAAATTTATTTAATTATTATAATAAATAATAATAAAAATTATATTATTATATATATATTATAAATTTAAAAATTAAATATATAATATTAAAATAATTTTAATAAAAATAAATTTATTTATCATATTATATGATATATCACCTTTAGATAAAATTATATAATACTGATTAAAATTAAATATGTAATATTAATATAAAATGTGAAGAATAAATTTTTACAACTAAAAATTTTAAGTTCTTAAAATATATATAAAAAATGTAAAAAGGTATAATATAAATAACTAAAAGAAATAATAATATCATATAGTATAATAAATAAATTATTTTTTTTTAATAAATATTATCATAATTTATATATAAATTATAAATTATAATTAATATTTTATATATTTTTAAATAAATTTAAATATTAAATAAATATTTTAATAATATAATTATTAAAAATAAAAAAATAATATTAATATTATAATATAAGTTATTATTATTAAAGTAAATTATAAATATTAAAAATAATTTATAATTTATTATTTATAATTAATTTATATAATTAAATAATAGTTTTATAATATTGACAAATTATATATTATAAAATAATAAAATATTATTTCTTAAACTATAAGTATAAAACTATTCTTAAATTATTTTAAAAAACTTAAAATATTTTGATATCTAATGATTATAAAAAAATAAAATAAAATTTTAAATTTATCATATTATAATATATCTAATAATAGTATTTTTAAACTTTTAAAATTAATAATTATTAATATATATTAATATTTTTAATTTTTAATTTTAAACATAAATTATTATCTAATAATTACAAAAATATAAATTTAATTTATTGAATTCATTACATTAAGACTTATTAAATTATAGTATTTTATATTTTTAAGATTGGTAGCTAGTAAATATATAAATTTAAAATTTTAATTTTTAATAATAATTTATTATATGAAAGGATTTCTAGGAAAATCAGATTTTAAGAAATTTTTGACTAAAATTAAGAGCTTAATGCATTTTAATTTAATAAAACTAAAATGCAATAAAAATCTTAATTTTATTAAAAAATTCTTAGAACCTAATTTTTTTAAAAATCAATTCATATATTTATTTTTAAAAATCATTAGTTATTTATCATTTTTTTTTTTAATTTTTACTTAAAAAAAGTTATAAAATTTATTATAAAAGTATAATTTTTAATGATTTATTTTTAATTATTTTAAAAAATATTTAATTTATTAATTAAATTGCAGGTAAATTTGCTTATAATATTATTAAATAATAAGTAACTTATAATTTTTTTTAAATTTCTTTTAATATATAATAGTTTTAAATATTATAATTTTAAATATATTAAATTTTTAGAAGATTAAAAATTATAATATAAGATTTTTAAAATAAATTTAGATATTCTATAATAATAAATTCCAAAATTATAAATGTTAAATAAAATTTAAATTTGATAAATAAGTATAAAAATAAAATTTATTTATATATTTATTATATATATATTATATATATATATATTTATTTATTTCTTAATGATACTAATTATTATATAATAATAAATATATAAAAATTATATAATCATTTGATTTTATTTTTTTTTTATATATTTTATAAAAAAAAATTTAATTTTAAAATAGCTTAATTATTAAATACTATATTTATAATAAATATTATGAAATACTTAGATTAAAAATATTATTGTAACTAGTTATAATTAATGATAAATAAAAATTAAAAAATTATATCGTATTCTTCTGAAAATAAGCAACACTTTTTTATTATAGTATTGCTTATTTTCAGGTAGTTTAATAAAATGAAAAAATTTAATCGTGTAATTACCTAATCATGTGATTTTTATCAATTGAATCATTTGCAATTTATTATGTAATACACAAAATAGATTTTAAATAGGTTTATTTTTTTTTATGTAAAATGGCAAAGCAAAAAAAAGTAGTTAAAACTATTAAATGTAAGATTTAGATTGTAAAATGAATATGAAATTCATATTCAGTTGAACATAAAAAGGAGGTCATTGCTTATGTAAGGAATCATGAAAATAATAAAGCAGAAAAATACTTTAATATTGATTATAATATGGTAAGTTAGTGGATAAATATAAGTTCAAAATGGATAAGTGAAACTAAGGGGAAAAGCAAGCAGGTTGGTTCTGATAGAAAAGCCTTATTTCTAGAAGTAGAGAAAAAGCTTTATATCTGGATTATATAACAAAGAAAACAAGGTCTTTCAGTGGTTTACATAACTATAAGAAATAAAATATTAGAGATCTTAAAAGAACCTGAAATAATGTTTTTTTATGATAATATAGGTGAAGACTTTAAAACATCTTAACGTTAGATATTAAATTTTATGAAAAGATTTAATTTAGCATTGCGTAGATGAATCAAGATTTTTCAGAAATTTCCTAATGAAATTCAGGAACAACTAGAAAAATTTTACCAGTTCATTAAAAATTTAAGGATTGAAAAGTCATTTAAACTGAATAATATCCTTAATATGAATGAAACTCTAGTTTGATTTGATATGGCTAGTGTTTATATAATTAATCCTAAAGGAGAGAAGACAGTTCATATTCGAGTCATAAGAAATAAAAGGAACTGATTCACAGTAGTCCTTATATATATCGCAGATATCATTCTTTTCTTTTTTATTTTTTTTCTTTTTTATTTCTTTTACTTTTCTCACCTTTTCCACTTAATTTTTTCTTTTTCTTTATTTGATTTTTTAATCTTACAATAAACAGGTTCAAATTCTTACCAATTTGTATTTTTAAAGTCAAATGAATGCCACGTGAAAAAAAATGTCTCTAGGAGTCATCATTTAGTTTTAAACTAACGGTTGGATGAATATCAATTTGATGCAGAGATATATAGATTATTTTAACAATGTAAGGGTGAGAAATGGAATATGAAAAAATTAGCAATACTTGTTTATAATTTATTTAGAAACTATTTAGAAGATTCGATTAAAAAAAGATTTCACAAAAGTGATGTTTATCTTGCAGTAATCCTAGGCGGATTAATAAGTAAATACCAACCACTTGATATCTCCATTAATAAGCTGTTTAAGGATAATCTTTGAAAGAAGTGGTATTCTTAAATAGCAGATAGTAGTACTAGAGAAACTACCTCAGAAATCTTCGCTACATAAATCTTAGTGATGTGTATTCATAGATAAAACGTTCGTAGGAGGGTATTTCTACTGATATAATTGTTAAGTCCTTTAAAAAGTGCAATATTTCAAATGATTTGAACTCAGATGATATTAGTGATAACAATGTTAATGATCGTGATAATGATCATGATGATAATGATTATGATGATGATATCACTTATAATGATTCTGATACTACTGTTAGTGAGAATGATATCATTGATATTATAGATTAATTTTTTTCTACTAGAAATTTTATATTTTTTGGATGAACACTAATTCCATAATATTTTTTTTTATTGTAATAATAAAATAAACAATTGAATGCATTTATAATATGTTTATAAAGCTAAATTATTTATTTATTTAAAAAAAATTCAATTTTTCTGAAACATTGCTTATTTTTGAAATCTATATAAAACAGGTGTTGCTTATTTTTGAGGGTTGCTTATTTTCAGAAGAATATGGTAACTAGTTATGATATTAATAATATTTAAGCTGAAATTAGTTATAATTTCTAATAAATAAATATTATAGTATTGTAATTAATTATATTATCTTTAATTTAAATATAAAAATAACTCAAATTTGATAATTAGATAATTAAATAAATATATAAAAATACAAAATTTTTTTATTCAAATTATAAAATTATTATTAAATAAATCAATTTTAATTAATTAAAATTAAATATAAAATTATATATTTAAGAGAAATATAATATATTAAAAAACTACTTAAATAATATTAATTATAAATTTACATTATTTTATAATTTGTAATAAATCAATATATTAAATATTAATTATAAAATTTCTAATTAATAAAAAATATGGGAGTGTTTCTAGGAAAATCAGGTTCCGAGAAATTTTTGACTAAAATTAAGAGCTTAATACATTTTAATCTAATAACATCAAAAACTAAAATGCAATAAAAATCTCAATTTCGCTAAAAAATTCCCGGAACCTGATTTTCCTAGCAATAAACCCATATAATAAAAGTCTATTAATTAAATAAAGGAAAAAATTTTTTTAATTTGATTTGTTATCTTTATTCTTGATATATAAATTATTATAATGCATTTTAATTTTAACTTTTAATTTTATAAAAAAGATTCTTGATTATAGTATTTTGATTATAGTATTTCACTTTTACTATATCAAAAGTTAATGGAATTTTGTAGGATCATCATAAAGAAGGGAAATCTTAATTCTGGTTGAAATAAGAATTTAATAAAAATAACGCGAAACTTAATGGATAAACTCGAATAAATCATCAAACTTTTATCTTTTTATAGAAACAAAAAATTAGTTCGGTTTATTCAATAATCCATAAATAGAAATATTCTATATAATAAATTTTATATTAAAAGAACTGACATCCCGCATCAGATAACACACGCTGCACTCATAATTTGCTAATCGAATTATGAAGTGGTATAACTGGAGTAGCGGTAGGACCCAATTCAACATTACTTTTCCATAATACTATATCATCAATAATTACATTTTCATCCTTTAATTCCAATTCCAATTCCCCTTCCCCATTTTGTTTCTCATCTTTTCTTTCGTTAACCTTTTCTAAAGTACTGATAACACCATTTAAATACATATTATTAATTAAACCTTCAATTTCATTTTTATCAACTTTGGTTTGATCGGTTAAAAATGCTGACAAATTTTCCAATCCACATTTATCTAATTCTAATTTTGTTTGAGTGCCGAAAAATTTTTGTAAAACGTTTATAGTTATTGTAGTAAGGCCTTGTGAAAGTAAATATGTGTTTAGATGATTAATATCAACCGATCTTTTGACGAATCCATCTGACTGTGAAGTTCTTATATGCACTGAAAGTTTTTTGTAAAACGGTGAAGTTGGAATAATAAATTTTTTGTAAAATTCTAAAAGCTCTTGTTTTGTAATTTTACGTAATTCTTCTACATCCGTCTCAACTGACAGGTTAAAAATATAACGCAAATTTAGAAATTAAAAACCTTTTTTTTTTTTTTAAAAAAAAAAAAAACCTATAATTATTACTTACTTTGCTCGAAATTATAATATCCGGAAATAATATGATCCCAATATCTACCAGTTTCTTCAAATAAATTTTTTGGTTTCTCTATTGTATCTATAATCAATGAATGGACTTGTTTTTGATATTCTTGTTCGGAAATCTCTTCGATTATGTTCAATAATTTACCCAAGAAAGCTTCAATTCTATTTTCCAAATGAATCGTATCTTTCTCACTTTGTATAAGAATTCTAAATCCTACAGAGCTTATTTGTTCTCTTAAACTACTTTCAACTATATATCCTAGATTTTTTTTTTAATTATGATGATGATGATTAAATCATTGTATCATTAAAGGAAAAATAAATAATACTCTTACCTAGTTGTTCCTTTGTTCTTAATTGATCAAAACAAGGTTCATTAGCGATTTGTGCTAATATACTTGATTTGGCTCTTAATTCTTTATCCATTAAATCACCTATTTGAATATAATAATAAATAGCAGAATTATATTCCTCTAAATTAATAACACTCCTTTGATAAATAAATCTTTTCCCTTGTGGAATAATAACATTTCTATGACCAATTAGTTGTGATGGTATAAGAGCTTTGGGTTGAAGAATCTCTTCAACTCTTTCGATGATTTTAATGGCATCATCTTTAAATATATTACCATGAATTAATGATTCAATATACAATTTATTCAACAATTCAGAATAAAATGTCTTTATATCTTCGTATTTAATATCCTGTAATGCTTCTAATTTTTCCTCATTTGTCCACGCTTTATCTTGCGTTAAATATTTCATATAATACATCGACTGTTGATATGGTTCAATTAATAGAGAGTTTTTATAACTCCTTTGACGTCGTTCTTTCATTAATAAAAATCTTTCGGGGTCGGCTTGAAAATTTTTTATTTTAATCACAATTTTTTCTAGTAAAACTTGTAATTTATCATTAAAACCATCAATTACTAATAACAATCCTTCTGAATCGCTATTAAAATAATAGGTTACACCTGCCACTTCAGCGCTATACGAATCTTCAGTAAGAGTATCGCAAACTAAGTCTGTAAATAGTTTAGCTTTAACACAATGCGATGGCGTAATGTAAACAAGTGGGCTACAGAAGGAACAAAAGAGGTTAGGTTTAAATTTTTTTTTTTTTAAAAAAAAATAATATATATATACAACATATATACCTTTTTAATTTAATATTTACGCTTGCCTTTGGAATCCAAAATGTATCATCTTTTTTATGCCAAAGTCGACAAAGTGGTGTATTCTTAATTAGGTTTGGCTTATTTGCAGGCTATATTTATTTAAATATAGGTTAAAGCACATTTAGAGTACATCACTACCGATGCTTATACTTACCGTTGCAAATTCAGTCTTGTGAGTTTCAAAATTTGTCGGAATAAATTCATTAATTAAAGGCATTTTCAAATCAGGATGTAATGAAACATTAATCAAAGCCTATTAAATTATATAAAATGATTTTAATGGGTTGCATTAAATTTAAAATCAAAAGGCTACCAGTTAATTTCAATTCCTAGTATACCTGAGTTAGTTTATCACCTAAAGGTTCAACTTTATATTCAGTACCATACCATTTCTCTTTCTGATCCAATCCAGTAAAAGATTGACTAATTAATTCTAAAAAAAAATTATCCGGACGAAGTAAATCAAGTAATTCACTAATTAAAAGTGGATTATATTCTCTTATCAGATAAGGTCCGCTCAAAATCCATTCTCTTGGATATGGATTTTGCATCATATTGGATAAAGTTGATGAATATCTTGATGGTGATGATTTTTCTTCAAATCTAAATGATATATCCTCAAGTTCTTTAATCTATAATATTACATAGAGGTTTTTTAACATTAATAATTAAAAACTACGTTAAATTAAACTGAAATTAAATATGAAATAATTAACTTACCTCTCGAAAACACCACTCTTGAACTCCGACTTTTCTCAACATTTCGATATATTGAAATATGTGCACGACCACATCTTCATAATTATCTATATAAAAATAAATAATATGGTTAGATCTAATGAAAAGAAAAAAACCTCCCCAAATGACAATAATTACCTAATCCAAACTTAGTAAGTTCTATCGAGATTTCGAAAATCGCAAACCCGACTCCTTCATAATTTAATCCAGAAATTAAATTGTTTGCCAAACCTTTCCTTTTTAATAAAGATAAAATTGACCCAACTCCTTCATGCCCAATCAAATACGATAAATATTTCACAGGCTTTTTATATATAAATTAAAAATTAGCTTATTAAATATAAAAGGTGATTCTTTTATGTGTGTGAACTTACATTAACACGAAACAGCTGTTTTAGATCTGGAAAAGGAAATAATAATTTCAGCATCCGTATATCTTTCACAGATTTGATAAACACTTGTTTCTAACAATAAAAATTGTATTAGAACTTTAAGAAAGATTTTTTTTTTAAAAAAAAAAAATTATGATGGCGTACCGACAGTCCACTTTCGGTAAAAGGATGACCTTCAAAAGTAGGTACCGGTATGCTTTTATTTATAATAGCGGAAAATTTTTTAACAACCCATTGAGAAAGTTGATCTAACGATTCTCTACCAAGCACAACTAATTTCATGATATTAGCAGAATAATATTGATCATGAAATTTTAATAGCTCGTCTCTGATATTTAATCCTTGCTTAATCGGATCTTCTTTGAGTGTTTTTAAATTTCCTGTACCAAATTTTGAATAAGGATGTTTTGGATCTGATAACGATCTTTCTAATTGATGAATCCTTCTATGATCCGATTGTAAATTCTTTTTATTCTCTATAAAGTCATTATAAATATAATATATGTAATTATAAAGTAAATAAGGAAGAATACAAAAATGTTTTATATTATTTACCGGAATCAACCGCACATATTTCTCGGTCAGTACAGCTTGGATCAAATAGCGGTTTTATGAAGAATTGAGAAAAACGATCTAATGCGCCTTCCAAAAATTCAGTTCCAACTTCAAAATAATAATTAGTGTTGTCAGAACTTGTATAAGCATTTGCATAACCACCGTGATTTAATACATATTCACGATATTCATTTTCTTTTGGGTACTTTTCCGTTCCCATAAATAATAAATGTTCACAAAAGTGAGCAAGTCCTTGTAAATTATCCTATAACAAAAAAAAACAATTTATTAATTACAATTTTTTAAAACAAAAAAAAAAATTTTTTTTGTTTTTTTACACCTTACCGGATCGCATAAATGACCAACATGAATATCTAAAGCAGCACTTGATTTATCAGTTTCAGCATCATGAATAAGCAATATTTCTAATTCATTACTTAATCTAATAAGTCTATATGATCTATCATCAACATAGGATTTTTCAATGGGAATTGATAAGATTAAATGACTTCCATCTGGTGAAATGGTAAAGTTTGGTGGAATGTTTTTAAATGATGCCATTAGAAAAGATTTTTTTTCATCAAATTTGTCGATTGGGTTATTTAAGATTAATCAATCAACAAATCGGGAAATTTGATCAATACAATGATTTAACTGTGCGACCTATTAATAGTCGTAATAATTTATTTTTTAAAGAAGTATATAATTTTACAAAAGAAGTGAGAAGGCAATTATTTAGATGATTATATTAAAATGTTTAATAAATAAGGCTTTGCCGTAGAAAGAAAGGAAATCACAAAAAAATTTACTCTATTAAATACTTTTTTCCGAGTCACAGGTTGAGGTAATGCATATGCTAAATCCTAACAATTCAGTATGACAATACCATCACCTCCACTCCTTTTGTAATATCTTAATTTTTAAAGTACATTTCATCAAGTTATATTATATTTAATCAATTATAAACAGTTAAAAATACTAGCGAAACTTTATTGTTTGATTGATTAATACACGTATAAATAATACTAATTTTTCTCAAAGAATCTTTGGTAACATGTGCGACGCAGTACATTATCAAACCTTATGTTTTAAACTTTCTTAGTTAGGGGTACGACCAAATTCCACTCAAGAAATCCTAGTTTTTGGGACCCTTTGATCAAAAAAGAGACACGTAATTTATATGTTTTCCATGTCTATTGGTAACAGTGAGTACTTCATATATGAAGCATACACGAGTTAAAAATATAACCACAATTTGGATGAAAAAATGATAAACGCTTTAACATGCAAAATTGCTAATTATTCTATTCGAACGTATCGTGCAATAAATTATCCGAAAAACTTCAGATAATTGTGTATTCGTACATAAATACATGACTTCACTCTAAAATTATTGAATGCAGATAAGAAATAGTTTTAAATAGTCGAATTCGTCTTTTAATTCAAGAAATATGCAGATACTTTATTATGTTGGTTAAAAGAGCTTACAGACACTTGGATGAATATGTGTCCAATCATGAAATCGAACCACGGATAACGTGCGCAACCACGTACTAGGGACTTTTCATGCTGTGGTCCTGGAGCGAGCTGGTCCTTTTCAAGGACAAAGAAGTGCTTGAATTGGATATGTACATCTGTCATAGGATTTACGGCCAGGTCTGTCGCCTTGAATGGTATATTACGATGGTTTAGAAATTTTTCGCCACTAAGTTGTCAATTTTTAAGAGACGTTACACTTATATCTTTGGGTAATGGGAAAGAGTGGAACACATCTATCCAATGCAGCTGGGCATAGCGGTTTATACAACACGAAATTATATTCACCTTTGACCGATACACCAACCCAGTGTCCAAGAACTTCCCGTCGAAGCTTACAATACGTTCAATATACGTTGATTTTAGAAACATAGTCGAAAGGTTTTGCGGTAAATTATTTTGTAGCCGGTCTCAAGTGTGTCGAATGATTTCTTGCAATGAAGTTCACTATGTCGATCTTCACGGAAGCGTTCTAGAAATTCATAATCTTGCCACGCTGATTAAGCTCCTTATACGTTTATCTAGATATAAGAGTATGCACGGAATGCAATTAGTAGCTTCCTTCACCTTTGACGCATTTCTTTCATCTCCCAGGATGGGTAAAGTTTCAATAGTCCATCAAAAATATCTTCTGGTAACGGACCAACAAATTCAATTCAATATGCATACCATTTATTAGATATTTCTTCTCAAACTTTGTGTGCGCTATACCAGTCAAGACCACGCGAACTCCTAAACTTGCTCACTCAAATATATAAGATTCATCAAGGGTTTCAAGATATGAAGCCGAGCAGGTACGGGAATATATTCGTTGCTAATTAGGATGCCATGTTCGTCAACTACAAGAAGTGTTTTGCAATATTTTTGTTCGAGCATGTTCCAGATTGCTTCGACGAAAGGCGTTGCAAAATCATCCTAAATGAGTTCAACGGCAGTTAAAATGTCTTTATTTATTGCCAAAAAGTACTTAACAATCAACTTTGATGACTCCTCGTCCGAAAATAAGTCAAGCTTAACCGCATCTGCGACATAAAGCATTAACCAATTTTCAGAAAATGCCTTTGCCGCAAGGAACATTGCGATATACGATTTTTTCACTCCCATTGGACCTGATAAAACACGTTTTATTGAATTTGTTTGATATTTAAGAATGTTTCCCATATTTCAATCATCTGTCTTGAAACAAAAAATCTCTTTCCTTGGTAGCCTTGTCCAAAGTGCTTAGGCACCTGACAAAGATTTGGCATTTCGATGGAATCACCAGCTTGAAGGTGTTTGCGAATCTTCCACGTGACTCGGGTACGAATTCCTTGCTGCAAAGCATATCGATGGTTTGAGGTGGCATTCTACCCCATTGTCCTAACATAGAATTTTTATTAGTTATTCTTAGTCAAAGAAGAATTACATATCCTCTAATCCAAACCCTACTATAGCTTTAAGAAACTCATTCAACTATTTAATCTAGAAGGTATTTATATTTTTAGCGTTAGAAATAGATATTATCATAAATACAGAAAATATCATGTAAGAATTATCAGGTAATAAAAATATTAAGGAATTACATAATTTACCTAAATGATGGAATTTATCTGATTCTTTTAATATTGCAAACTTTTATAATAATAGATAAATTCTTATCTTTAAAATGTCTTCGTTATTTTATTATTTTTATTATTTTTATTATTTATCTTATATTTTATATATTTATTATATTATATTTTATTATTATATTATAATTGAAGTTTACAAATATAGTTAATTTATACATAACAAAATAGTTAATCATAGCAAATTAATTTTGTATAAATAGAATAATTTTTGTTTAAGTTATAAATTAATTTTCTTGTAAGTTTCAGCTTTATTATAAGTTATAAGTTATTAATAAAGAATCAATTTAAATTTACATAAATTATTTATTTTTTCAACATTATTTTTCATTTAGGATTTATTGTAATATTCTACAATAACTTACTTTTGAGTTTATTATTTGAATTTAATTAAATAAATCTTAAATTTTAAGATGTAATAAATTATTAAATTGATTTAAGTATAATGAATACTTATAAGACTTAAAGAATATCTTAAAGAAACTTCAGAAAGTAGTATTAATTACTGTAACCTTTTTGATTTAGACTTTATTATGGTATATAGCTTTAATTAAAATCACTTAAAGGATAATAAAATTATGACAATTATTCAAAGAATTATAGGTAAAAATTCATAGTAATATTAAAAATTATTCTTAATATAATATAAATACAAAAAAAAATATAATAATAAATATAAAGATATTTTAAAAATTTATTTCAAAGACTTTAAATATAATAAATTAATACAATATCATATAATATATAAAGAATTCATAAATAATTATAAAGGATAAGTTTTATACTTAATGAACTTATTAATAAAATTAATAGTTCTATAAAAATTTAAATTAATATAAAATTTAATTATTCATTATGCTAAAATTTAAATAGACACAATCTATATGATTATTCTAGAAAATAAATTTGATTGATTGATATATATAAATGAACTTTAGGAAAATAATATTAACATTATTATTATCATTAATTTTTTAATTGAAAATTTTACCTATTATAATGTTAGAATAACCAAAAATGAACACAGTAATAAAATAGACTTACAGATTCAGATTTTGTAACAATGCAATAATAGGATTCTAAACAATACTAATATAACTCACAAAGGATTTACGTAAAGTTTATATATAAATATTTTTTAAATAAACAAATAAAGTTTACATAAATTAGTCTAATTTTATATTATTTATAAATTACATTTATGTAGAATTAACTAAAATAGAAATTAAAAGCTAGAAATATGTAAAGTTAATCATTTTTTATTTATAAAATAATTAAATATTTAAATCAATAAATGAAAGAAATTTAAAAAATTAAAATAAAATTAAAAAAATAAAAATAATAAATATATAAAATTCAAAAATTAAAATAGAATTAAAAAAAAAAAGTAGAATTCAAAAAAATTAGAATAGAGATTGAAAAATAAAAAATAAAAGTATGAAATTTAAAAAATTAAAATAGAAGTTGAAAAAATAAAAAAAATGAAACAAAGTTTTAAAAAATTAGAATAAAGATTAAAAAATAAAATAAAAGTATGAAATTTAAAAATTAGAATAAAAGTTGAAAAAATAAAAATTGAAATAAATTGAAAAATTAAAAATGGAACTCTGCTCTATTTGTTTTTTTTTTGTTTTTTTTTAACTTCCATTTTAATTTTAAACTCTACTTTATTTTTTTATTATTTAACTTTTATTCTAATTTTTTGAAAATTATACTTTTATTTTTTTATTTTTTTAATTTCTATTCTAATTTTTTAAACTCTATTTCATTTTTTATTTTTTAACTTCTATTCTATTTTTTGAATTTTGGATTTTAATTTTTTATTTTTTCAACTTCTATTTTATTTTTTAAATTTTACTTAAAATTTTTGTTATTTTTTCAATTTCTATTCTAATTTTTTAAATACTACTTTATTTTATTTTATTATTAGTTATAAAATAAATTTTAAAATATTTTAATAAAATTTAGTATCAGTTATTTTTAATTATTTAAATTTAATTTTATATAACTAAGATTTTAAATTTGTAATTTAAAGTTATTTTTTTAACCAAGATGTAAGTTTGTATAGTATTAGGATGTAAAAAAAGATGTATAAAGTTATAAATATATGCTAATTATTTGTGAGTTATATTAATATTATTTAGGATTTTGCAATAATACCAGTTATATTAGAACTTATATTTACTTATTAGATACAACATAAACATTTTTTTCAATCTTATTTTAAATATATTAGTCTAAATAGTAAAAAAAAGCAATTTGTTATTATATATATCATATTTTTGATTAAATGTTTAATATTTTTAATTTTATTGCTTAATATTATGCAAATTTTTTTAAAGGTCTAATTTATTATATAATAAAAAGTATAACAAAATATTATAATTATAAAGTTTGATTGCTATTGTAAAATTCTAATAATATTTAATAATAGGCATTTTAACTAAAATAATATAAAATAAATATTAATTAACTTATATAAAAACAATATATAAGGATATAAAATTATTATTATTACTTTATCGCTATTATTATTATTACTATTAATATTATTATAAAATTCTCTATTTTATTTAATAAAGTAATTTTTAGAGTTTTTTAATAATAACTTATTATATTTATTTAATTAAATCTATTTTTTTAAGTATAATATTATAAAATTGAATATTAAAATGTTTCTTATTTTTTTTATTTAATTGAATAGTATCATAAATTTAACATATATTATTTTAATATTATTTAAATATTCTAATTAATAATTAGTAAATATATAACTAAAAAAAAATAGATAGAACTATTAATATATTATTAAAAAATTAGTACCTTTAATTAGTATAAATTTAATTAAAAATTATATGCACAAATTGATAAATTATATTAGTTCCTTATATAATTACTTTAATTATATGTAATTTATTTATTTTTAATAATAATTAATATATAATTAATATATACAAATACATCTTCTATATATAGATTTATATATTACCTAATATACATTTTATTTATTTATTTAAATTTACTTTATATATTTTTATCTTATAAAATTTAATCCTATTTAATTTCATTATATATTTTTAATAACATTATTAATGCTAATATTATTTTTTTATATTATTTTTTATATTTAGTAATTCTTTATAATTTAATTAAAAATAAAATTAAGTATTTGTAAAATATAATTTTATATATAAGAATTAAGATATAACTTAAGAAAATATTTCAGAATATCTTTAATATTATAACATTAAAAAGAACTATCTTATAAATTATAATAGTGATAATAAAAAATATAATCAAAAAATATTAAAGCATTTTATCATTAAGTTATAATTTTGATTTTATAATATAAAATTATCTTAATAGATTTCTTTTTTTTACTAAAATTTCTTAATTTTAATCTTTATAATTGATTATTATAATAAACATAAATATAAAACTATTTAAATTATTATCAGTATTATATTATTTAATAATTTACTGATCTTAATTTTAAAATTATCTTTATTAATAATTACTATAATATAGATAAGAATATATAATTATTAATAAATAAATATACTAAAAAAATTTATAAATTATCACTATTTTTGTAATTTTATTAATTATTAATCTTATTAATTTTCTCTTATAAAATTATAAAAATTAAATATAAATAATAAATTTTTTTAGATATTTTAAAACATAAGAGATATAGAGATGTAATATGCTAAAAAAATCTATATTTATATATTTATCAGAAAAATTCTAGTAAAATTTTTATTAAATAAATTTTGTAATTCAGTTGTTATTTTAAATTCTTCTTAAATACATTATTTAAAAATAAAAAAATTTAGCTATTAATTAAAATATAAAAAGTAAATTTAAAATTAAATAACATTAAAATATTTTATTTAAAATATTAAACTTTTTAATGCATTAAGAATAATAAAATAATTTATGAAATTACTAGCATAATATAAATACTTTAAATATTTTAGATTATGTTCTATTTTATTCATAATAAATTAACTAATTTTTATATAAGAATTTATAAAATAAATAATGAAATTATAAGTAAATCTAGTGCAAAAATAAAAATTAAAACTTATATTAAGACTAATATTCTAAAATTCTAAATTAAATCAAATTAGCTTGAATTTATAGAATTTTTATTATTAAATATCTTTTTATTTAAATCAAATTAAATTTAGAATACTATTTAAAATAAATTATCTCAAAAATTTTTAATATTTTATTTAATAAAATGATAGAATTATTTATAATTATATCAAAAAAATTCTTAAATTTCATTTTTTTCTTTAAATTATATAATAAAAATTCTAATGCTTTTTTATTTTTAAATTTAGATATTTATATAATTAATGATTAAACTTACATAAGTATTTTCAAATTTATTATTCTTTAAGACTAATTAATTTTTATTTTTTTCTATAATATATTTATAAAATTGCTAATGATCATATCAATTATTATTATGATTAAATTAGAATCTGACTTTTCTTAAAGTATTAAGAATTAAACTAACTTTAGATTTCTATAAAATCTTTTATTAAATTATATGAATTCTTTTAAAATAATATTATCAAAAAAATATATATACTTATTCTTAATACTAATAAAAATCTCATAATTGATTAGCAAACATTTTATTATTAATTTTTTAAAATTTTCTTATTATATAAATTTTTGGATTTAGATTATCTATTACATTTTTTTTCATCATAATCTTACTTTTAAGTTAAGTTAATCAAAATAAATATTTTTGAACTTTAAATAAGCTAAAATATTATATATTTTACAAATTTTTATTATAAAATTTATTTTAAATTTCATTTTTCATATCTTTTTTCTCATAATATTTAGAATATTATGTAAATTATAATTATAATTATTCTTATAATTAATATCAAATATTTCAGTAATCAATAATTTAAATTAAATAAAGTTTTACATATTGTAGCTTAACTATATATATCATATTAAAATTTCGACTAATTTTTAATATTAGTTTTGAGATAATTGACATATAAGATAAGGTTAAAGACTTTAATATTTTTTGCTATCTTAATATTGAATTATATTAAAATTTTTAACAACAATTAATTCAAACTAGCTCAAATTTTGATATTCTATAAATATATTATATAATAAATTTTTATTCAAATTGAATTACTAGTTTTTAGATATTAAAAACTGTAATTAAATAATTTGTGTATTATTTGTTTACATACTTATCTCAACATCAGTAAGTCAAATTAAGTGAAATATTATTGGTCCAATTTTAATCGATGAGTACTGTGAGATATACGATGTCAAAGATAGTGTTCAGAAACTTTTAGCTGGACCATAGATCCTTCTTTTCACAATTTGACATCCTCTTTTCGACCATGGCAAGGTATTAATATATATCTATCATGCCATTTCTGAGTTTCACCCGATCCTAATGAGTGGGATAAAGGCGAATGCATTATACCTTATTTCTTCTTGGAATTCTTGGGTGAAAGCTTCCTTCTTTGGATGTTTTGACATTTCAACCCTTCCGGAGGTGGTCCATCATTGCATTGTAGGTAAATCTTGTTCTTATAAAAAAAAAAAAGAGATTGGTTTTTGGGAATGTGAGTATAGTAGATTGTCTGCGGAAATTTACATAAAACTATCAAGTAGATTAGTAATACGAACAATTTGATTTATTCTTGAAGTACATGTGCATAAACTGTAAACTTTATTTTAATAAAAATATTTATATATAATTTTAAAGTGATAATATAATAAAACTCTATATTCCTTTCTTAATTGGCGGTTCAAACATATTTTTCTCAACCAATTACATAATTGCAAATCCTGCATGAACAAAAAAGTTAAAATTTCAAAGGGCTTTTTTTTATTTTTTTTTTTGTTTCACATTGAAAATAAAACGCATTGTTTATAATAATATTGTGTGTAGAAGGAATATTAATGGGTTTAATAAAAAAATCATGTGAATTTTTTTAGTTTGCTTATTATATATGAGTTTCCCAGCGGTCATGGCAATCACATCACTGACTCATCCTAGGCGTTGTCCGAATTTCAATACAAAAAGCAAGTCAAAGAAGGAAATTGTTTACTTTCGGATTACACAGATTTGTAAAGTTTTTCGGGAAATCCCTTTCAAGAAATTCCCTTAACAAAACGTTTATGAAACGTGTAATTTTCTGGATTACCAAAATATTTTATCGTTATTCATTGGATCACGCCACAAGCAAGCAGAATGATTTAGTTTAATTGGGTATGATAAATGTATTTTGGCCTATTGTTTCCATAATAAGATCACGAAGATTTGAAAAAATTGGAATGATACGCCGACCCATAAAGGGTATATCGGCTGAACTTAATTGATTGAACAAAAATTAATTTACTAAAAACGGTTTTGGTTTGAATATTTTCCCCCGTCAAAGCATTTTTTTACTGAAATAGTTTAATTTCATTTGTGCATAAATTAATTTGGACATGAATAAAAGGTGCCATGAATATATGACTCATTGTTTAGCATACTCATTCTATAATTACTCGATATAAAATTTTTCTGCGCCTTATTTTTGTTTCTGAATTGGGTAATTTTATAATCACCGGAGATAAATTCAAAAAATCAGTCACTTGGTTACATCACACTAGACAAAGAAAAAATTTGCTTATAAATAATGGGTGAAATATCGCTATTGAATCCCTAACCAAAAAAGAAAAATATTTTTTTTTCCACCATTCTGTTCTTTTTTTTTTTAAAAACAAAAGAAAAAAACTTTTTTTGAGAATCATATAAAATGGTCACCACAAATGACGAACTTGACAATATAAAGGAAGAATTGCGCAAAAACCTTACTCAGGATAGTAACGGTAAAGGAAAATCAAATGATAATAATAATAATAATCAAAGAATGAATAGCTTCAGGTATCCAGCTATTTTACTTATCGGGGATACAGGTGAGAATACTTTTTTTTTTTTTTTTTTTTTTAAGACGCGTTAAATGTTTATTTATGTATTTATTCGCTTCTTGTAGGTGTCGGAAAGAGCACTTTGGGTAACTGGTTGTTAGGACATCATGGAGATGATGGGCCTTTTGAGACTCAAGCTTCGTTCGACCGCGTAACTTTAGAACCACAAACTGCATTAATCGAAATTAATGGTTGTAAATATAATTTAATCGATACGCCAGGTTTATTTGATTTAAAGGATGATAGCAGATCAGAAATTTCTCTAACCAAACTAGCTAACACAATTAATCATTGTTCATATGGGATACAAACGATTATATTTGTGGTAAAAAAATCATTTGGTAAAGAGATTGATAGGCAAATTCAAGCAATCAAAGGTTTTTTAGGTGAAAAATCTTTGGATCATATGTTGATCGCTTTCACTCATTGTAATATGGAACAAACAATGGATAGAATAATTATGAAGGAGACGTTTACCTCCAAGATGAAAAATTTTCTCGATTATATTGATAATAGATGGATCATTTCACCCAATCCTGATTTATTCAATTTAGACGACGATATTGTTTATACCAATATTTATGAAGCTAAGGATATTATTGGTTCTTTCCCTGAAGCTTATACTACTGAAATGTTTAATAGAGTGCGTAGAGCTAGAGAAGATGCCGAGGAAGCGGCTAGAAGGCATGCCCAAGAAGAGCGTCTGAGGTCTTGTGAAGAAGAATTAGCAAGAATCCGCGGGGCGGTCGATGAAGCTGGTAGACTTAAAGCTAATGAAGAAGCTCGAAAGGCTTGCTTTTCCTTGGACACGATTGTTACGTTAAAGGATGGGAGAAAGATTGAGATGTCTGAAGTTAAAATTGGCGATCACGTCGCCTGTGGTGTATATAATAATGGTGGTATTAAGGAGATAAGATATTCGGAAGTTTATTTAATCGCTCATTTAGATAAACATCAACAAACCGAATTCTTAAAGGTTGAATATATAAAACCTGACGGAATGACTGGTAATTATCGTTCTACTTGCGCTAACATTCAAAAATAGATCTTGGTATTTATTTAATTTTAAATTTTTAAATATAATAGGATCGTTGTATTTGACTTCGGAGCATCATGTGTTTGTCGATAATGCATTTGATTATGCGCGTAATATTCGTCCTCACGCTTCACAGATTCACGTTCTAGACAACGGAGAGTCAATTTCCGTAAAAGTAACAAATGTTTCCAAGGTAGATATTTCTTTATAAACAAATCTCTTTCTTCTCTTATTTTTTTTAAATTAATCCTTTTCTCTTTGGTTTTATTTATTAGGAAACACGAGAAGGATATATTGCAATATTTACACGAGTTGGAACAATTATTGCGAATAATGTATTATGTAGTTGTTATTCTAATTGTCCCCCATATCAAAATACTATCCATTATATTTTGTCCCCATTACGTTTTATTACTTTATTTCGTAAATCCAATCATTATAGTAACGAAATCCATCCTTACTTGAAGTTCCTTTACAATAATTATCAATACTTTTCTGGAACTTTTAAACATAAACTATGTTAGAAGAGTTTTTTTTTTTTTTTTTTTTTTTTTTTTTTAAGATTTTTTTTTTTATGTAATTTATAGCTTCTTTTTTCTTTTTCTTTTTTTTTTTTTTCCTAGAATTTTTATTTTATTGTAATATTTTAATTTATTAAAAAGAAATTTAAACATTTCTACCCATTGAATGTACAGTTTGATATAACCTTTTAACTTTTGCGATGGGTTAGAATTACTACTATAAAAATAACAACAACAACACATGCACAAGAACTTGCGTAAATAATCTTCTCTCTGCGTCCGAATTTTGCGGGAGTTTCTCCACGTGCTTTAGGATTGTTAAGCTCTTCTTTTCTTACATTTTCATTATCTCTTACTTCCATAATCTTTTTTTTCAACTCATCAACAAAATCTTTAATTACAATTTTACCCTGATCATTATTACCAAATAAATCTAGACTCGGCATTACGATCCATCGATTTTTTATACCATATAATAATGTTGATATTTGTGTATTAAAGGTTTTTTCCATTTCCATACGCGATAATATTAACGATTTACGTACTTTTGTGAATACTACTATTATACGTGTATTTGGATATCTCGTGAATAATTTAGAAATAAATAAAAGTTCATGTTGTGTTAATCTTCCTCCTTCTAAAGTACGCAAAGGAAAATGTTAATGAGAATCCTTTGAAGGAATAGGAAATGACCCAATTTTAATTATACAAACCTAATACAAAAATATATGCGACTACTCCTTCAGATGATTTATTTTCAATCTTTTTTAATTTATTCCAGATTACATCTGATGTGCTAGATTCTGGAATACCAATCGTATCGACTAGACTATATCTTTTAAAATCTATCGTAATTTCTGCTGTGTGATAAATCTAAAATAAAAAGTGGAGAGTGACTTAGAAAAAAAGAACATGACGAAAATTGAAAAGGTTTGTGAAAGAATGTCACGTTACTTCTTGTGAATCATCATCATCATTATCGGGATATTGCCCATTGGAAATTGGAAATATTGGTAATGGACTTTCTTCTGAAGGTTGAGAATAACATCCTAATAACATGTTACCCAACGTACTCTTTCCAACCCCTGACATCAAAATACTTGATACATAAATATTAATGAAGAATAAAATATATATATATATATATATATTAAAATTAAAAAAAAAAAAGCTTTCAAACCCTTTTTTACCTTGTGCACCTAATAAAAAAATCGCAGGATATTTTATTTCTTCATTTATTATTACTTTTTGACTTTCACTTTCTTTTTCTAACGTCACTACACTATCTGGCATTTTTTCATTTTTTTTTGGAGGGGAAAAAAATAAACTGTATATTCACAAGATGATAATCCGAAAATCGTTAATTTATCAATTTAAGGCTTATGTATTTTTTCTCACAGAATTGCATAATGCACTGCCTTATATTTCGGGTAATAACGGATGTGGAAGTTCTCTTTTGGTCACATAGATAAAAGTTCAATTGTTCAAAGAACCTTCAAAACCTAAATTTGTTTCATACGATAACGATAACATTTATAAGGTTTTTAACTTTTTTTACTGTTAATTTACCTAAAATAATCTGATAATAATATTTCTTTTAGATATAAAGTAAAAATATTAACACTAATAAAATTTACTTAATAATAATTATAATAATTGAATTTAATAAAATTTGATTTATTATTATTATAAATTTTTATATAAATTTTTTAATATAGTTAATTTGTATTATTTTTAAATCAGAATTAGTTAACTTGTAAAATAAAATAATAACCATATATAATAATAATTTTTAAAGTAATTATTATATTTTAAGATAGATTTTCTAATAAATTACATTGTTCTTGTTTAAATTCTATTTAGACCTGATAATTAAACTTTTAAAAATAAAATGGAATTCATAAAAATGCTAATATTATTATTATTTTAATCAAATAAATTATTATAAAAACTTTAATGTAAAATTTTATGTAAGAAACATAAACCAGTAAATGTTTATATATATAAAACAAATTATTAAACTAACAAATTGAAAATATTTTAAGTTTAAGCAAAAAAAAGAAGTAATAAATTAATTGAAAGCTTATAATATTACTTTTTTTTAATCATAATTTTTTGAAGTTAATTAAAATAAATAAAGAAAATTTTATATTTTTAAGATTAATAAATAGCAAGATATATAAATTTAAAATTTTAATTTTTTTTTAATAATAATTTTCATTTATTTATCTTTAAAAAATTACTAGTTAATTACATTTTTTTTTTATTTTTACTTAGAAAATATCATAAAATTTATTATTAATTTTTTAATAATATATTTTAAAATATTTAAAAATATTTAAAATAATTTTAGTTTATAAATAAAATTGTCTATAAATTTGTAAGCAAACAATTAAAGAAATAAAATTTAGCTAATAAAGATATTGAACTATTATAAAAAATGAAATTATAAATTTATATTTATATTCTAATTTTTTAATTATTTAAAATACATTCCTAAATATATTTTAAAAAAAATTTTAACTTATATATTATAATTAAATTTTAAAGAAATATGCTTAAAAATATTAAAACATATTTTAAATTTAATAAAAATATATAATTAATTTAATAATTATAATGATTTAATAATATTACATAATTAATACATTTTTATATTTGTAATATATTGATATAAATAAAAGAAAAAAGGTTACTTTAAATAAATATTTTTATTAATAATACAAATTTTTTATATTGAATTAAAATACCAAATAAAATTTAAGTATTAATAAATAATAAAAAATAATAAAAAATAAAACTTAAAAAAATTATATTAAAATTTTAATAAAAAATTTAAAAAAATCAAATTTTTAATTTTTAACAAATTCAAAATAAATTTAATAAATAATCTTAATAATATAATATAAACTTTTAATTTAATATATCATTCTTTAATAATTTATAATTTTAAATTATTTTTAATTTTATAATAAAATTTAAAATTAAAATCATATTTGCTGATCTTTAGAATTAAGCCTAAAATATAAAAAAGAAAAAAAATTTTTTTTTCATTAATCAAAATTTTATAGACTCAAATTACATTGTATTATATAATCAAATGATACATAATTATTAAAAAAATTTCTTCAAGTCAAATCTAAAGTAGCATAATAAATATTATTTCTTCTAGTCTACTTTTCATTAGTTTTTCCATCACTTCTTGAGTTTGGTAAACTAAAAATTTTGATAAGCAAATGTAACAAAATATTTTTATTTTAAATATAAATGGTAACTGCTTTTATTTTATTTAAAAAGATTTTCTTATAACAATATGTAAATGTTAAAAATCAGATGTAATTAAAGTTCTAATGTGAAATACAATTCAAATTTTAATAAAAAATTTTTTGCCAATATTTATCTTCATAGTATAGAAATAAGTTTTATAGAAATAAAAATAAATTATACAGAGTAGGTTTTTGGAATTTTTTTTTAAAAAAATAATCTAACTTTATTTTTTTTCTCATTTAAACGAATAAATATCAGATATAATTAAAGTTTTAATGTGAATGATCCAAATTTTAATGAAAATTTTTCATCAATACTTATCTTAGAATCATAAGATTTATAAAATGAAAATATATTTTTATAGAAATAGGAGATAAATTTACAAAATAAGATTTTGAGAGATTTTTTTTAAAAAAAAGTAATCTAACTTTATTTTTTCTCTTGTTTAAATAAAAGACTATTATGACTTATAGATTAGTTTTTATTTATTTTATATGAAAATATATTGATTTATATTTTTTATTAGCAATTTATTAATTCTATAATTTTTTCATTTTTTTATTTAGTTCAGGTGATTCCTCTTATTTTTTTTATTAATAAAATCAAATTAATATTTTCACAAAATAATTTAAAATAATTCAAATAATTTTAAATAACATGGTTAATTTTAATTATATACTATAAATTAAATGTATTTTAATTAATAAGTTAATCTTATAAGTTTTATAATCAATATAATGGTTAGGGCAGAAATTCTTTTCTTTAAAATGAAAGAGAAAGATGACAGAAAAGAATTTTTTTTCAAATCAAAATGATATTATGACTAATAAATCAAATATTATAATATTAAATAGATAAATAAATATAATCTATATACTACTGAAGAGTAATACTAAACTCTCAATTGAAAGAGACAGTACAAAGTATAATTATATTGATAAAAGAAATAAATAAATTAAATTGAAATACTGTATTAGAACTTAAAAATAAAATAAAAAAAAATTTAATATTATTATACAAATCATTATCATGTTATTTTTTTGCTATCTATTTAAAATAAAAAATTCCAATTTTGAGAGCATTAAAATTAAGAGAATATTTTTATATGCTAAATAAGCAGAAAGAAAGAAAAAAATCTGTTAATATTTTTACGCTTATTTAATTCTGTTTAAGTATCCAGAATTATTCAAATATTCTTACTTAAAGCTATTAGTGATTGATAAATAAAAGAATAAAAATACACTTAAAAAAATTATTTAAGTAATTCATATCAACTAGTATCATTCAGATTGATTTCTATAAAAAAGAAGTTATTAAGTGTTTGATTAATAAAAAAATAAACAAAAACTAAAATATTTTTTTTAAAAAACTAAAATAAAACAAAAAAAAGGGTTGGTTTTGATACTTAAACTATAATAAAGAATTTGAAAAATTAAAAAAAATATATAGGAATAGTCAATCAAAATATTAAAATTATGGCAGAATTGTAAGTATATTCTTTATTAGTTAAATCTATTCAAATTCATTTTTGTTTTTTCATTTTTTATTATTCCTATATTTTCTCTATCAACCCCTTTGCTTTTTTTTCTTCTAAGTAATTTAATTTAATTTTCTTTTTCTATTTTGTTAATTCTTTTTTTTTTAATAAATATCCTTTTATTCTTTTTTAATTCTTTAATATTTTCTTCTCAACCTTGATTGTTATTATTTTTCTGAAATTTTTAATTTACAATTAAACTATTATATATTTTAAGAAAAAAATATAAAATCTGAAATTAAAGAAAAAGAAAAGTTAAATTAATTACAATTAATTGAGAATACAGGAAAATATATCTATGTATTATTTATCTAAATTAATCTCGTTATTTATAGTAAAAATTATATTTAATTGGAAAATACAATTATTATTTATTATTTTTATACAAAATTTATTCTAATAGAATATTTTTTTTTTTAAATTAAATTTTTTTATTTTTTTTATTTTTTTCGATAAAATTTTTTCTATAGTTTAGTTATAATTCATCAATATATTAATATATTTTTAATGTATTATATATGTATATTCAAAACAAGTTTTGAGATGATGATTTTGCTATGTATATTTTAACTTTATATATTATATTTATTATGTTACCAAAAATTTTTAAGATGATATAAAACAAGTCATATATTAATATTTGTTTATATACATAATAGATATTATAATTAAACTATATAATGCTATTATATATTATAATATTACACTATTTTTTGTTATACAATAAGCTAAAAAAAAAATTTTTAATTATCTTAAAGATTCAAATATTATAAAAAAGACAATAAACGCACTTTTCATTATAAAATAATATTATGTTACACTCAAAAATCTTATTTGTATCTAATTTTACATAGTTATATAATTTAAATAACTTGAAATTGAAATAAATGTATAGTTCAGTATTTAATAAATTATAATAATAATAAATTTATATATATAGTAGTATTTAATGAAAAATTTTCAATTGTGTTATTTTAAATAAGTTTACTTTAGATGTTATCACATTATTTTATAAAGTAAGTATATAATATTATTGTTACTAATATTTTTAACTTTATAAATAATGAAATTTTACATAATTTTAAAGCAAAATGATCCAGAAAGTTATATATGAATCTCAAAAATACTTTTGTTCAGTCTTTATTTAGAATCTATATAAAAGTATCAGATTATATCATCTAAAAAATATATTCTAAAGCCAGTAAATGAAGTTTCTCATTTTACTCTTACTAAAAAAGCCAAAACTATGACTAAACAAATATTTAATGACTTTACAAATAATATTATAATCTTTTAAATTAACCTTTTAAAAAAAGTTTAATTCTCTATAAAAGACTATAAGTTTAAAGTAAAAATTGAATAAGAAAATATGAAAAAAAAATACAAAAATAAAGCAATAGTAATGGCAATCAATAAAAGACTAATTTTGTATAATGTATATAGAAATTTAGCTATAATAGAAGATAAATTACCATGTAAATGAATAATT